CCCCCCCCCTCAACCCCCCCTTCGGCTCTTCCCCACTCCCCCCTCTAACTTCCTAACCACCATACATAGAAATAGCAATACCAACCAGAACCTACATCGAACCGAACCCCCCCTCCCCCAAGAACGCAACGGTAAGATACATCCCACCCACCCATCCACCTTATATACCACAATATACCCTACCCCAATCCCAATCCCACCTACACTTAACGGTTAACAAAAATCAATACATATCAAGCCAACTCATGTCCTTTCCTTACAAATACATGTACATATACATGTAGCTATCTCGATGGGATACTGGGAATATACCTAGGTATACTTATATCTATATCTATACCTACCTTGCAAAGACTTACACACAAGAAGAAGGAAGAAAGTACTCAAAAGTACTTTTTATTCACTCCACTCCACTGCACATCCCAGCACAATATGAATAATACGCATCATGACATCATGCCCCTCACCATATCTACCAAAGTAAACAAAACACTACGAGTACCACTACCATTACAGTACCATCATAACCAAAAACCAAAACATCACATCAATCACACAACACAATCATCCAAAAAGTCTTTATGGAAAAATCTCAATATTTCATTTCTATTGAATATCAGGTCACACCATCTCAAGCAAAAACTTGTTCTCGTGTCTGTGTATTGGTTGGTTGTATGCCATGTGTGGTTGTAAAATGCCAAGTTGCATCATCATCAACCCCATCCACCCCCATTGGCAGGCTACTTTCTCTCATTCCTTCCCATCGCCGTGGAAAGAAAACAGAGAAGTGTGTGAATGACTTTGTGGGCCAGCTGGAGTATAAAAGACATAGCCGCGCACCACCCATAAAGGAAACAAGGAAAAATGAAAAAAAGAAAAAAAAACAATGAAAGATGATGTTCCATCACACTGAATGCTTCCCCCCAGTTCCAATTTCTTCTCTTTCTTCTCGGAAGCAAATAAACAAAGGTACAACAACAACAATCTATCTCCCCAATTTTCTCGAAAACCACTTCCAATATTAGCCTCCCGAAACTTTCGCAATTCTCTGCACACCCTCACAAAAAAAGACGAGACTCATGCTAGTAGAAAGCGCACGAGACACTCCAAATAATGTAAGAAGGGCTATTAAAAAAGGTCCGAGCGAAAAAGCGATTCAGGATATTAAAAAGGTTGGTATGGAGGAATTTTTGGTGAACAAGGAATCGAATCAACATAGAAGTGATCGCGTCGAAAGGGAGGTTGGAAGTTCGAGAAAATAAGAGACGAAGGTTGTTGTCAAAGGAGCAAGAAGTCGGGTCTTATGTACAGTTTGCGGTTGATGGCGTATCGTAAGTGTTTTGATTGAGTTTGATTTTTCAGAGGTCAAGTCAGGAAGGTATTCAAGTGTTGCCCAGACCAGACATGAAATGATAGGAAATGTTTTGCGTGTCGGATGTCTACTCGGATGATCATGAATGTCTTCATATGCGATCGTTTTGTCGTATGTTTTGGTTGGTTTGTAACGAGGCGTCCAATGGCCATTAAAAAGAGTGGTCCAGGATTCCCGAATCCAAAGAAGAAAGATTATCTCCATCATTGCTCCAACTAGCAACAATTGAGAATATGAAGAAAGCGCAAAAACAGAAAGGTATGCCGATGAAATATGCAGATCAATCACCCGAGCAAAGAGAAAATGAATGCCGATGATCAATCTGTCAAAGATGAAAAAGCGACAAACTGACCAATGCTGCGAGGTCGGATTGAGAAATGGGTACAGGTCAGGTAAAGTCCTGCCGTATCAATAAATGGTATGTCGAACCCAACGCCATGAAAAAAGATGCCAAACGCCGTACAAATGCAAATGTTAGTACGAAACCATACGCCGCGCAAGTCCGTAATTGAGACATGGAGATGCATTGAGATCCATCATGCTGCTCATATCAGTTCCAGAAGTACCTCTACGACCTGGTGCCGTAGGGCTCTCGTCAATCTGTCCACCAGATCCAAACGCATAGGTTTGTGCTCGGCTAAGTTTGGATCGGTTTTGACGAAGACGACCCATCTCTCTTTCACAGGTATAGGCGTGCTCCTTGGCATCCATCTCGACATAGCTTTGAGGGAAGCAACGTTCTTGGTGTTGGGAGAAGAAGGTACTGTATCCACCATCAAGGATGTACACTTCAGGGTACGTGAGCTTCGGGTAGTGCTCAACGTTAGCAGAACGGTCCTGTTTGCGAATATGGCGGGCCATGATGGGAGCTCGGTGAGCCGAGTACTCGCAGTGAAAGATCAGCAGCGTTTTGCCGGGAAGAGCTGTGTCAAGCAATTGGCTAGCCAAGAGCTCTTTATCATTGTAATTAACTGCTCCGTTGATGTGGCCCCCATCAAACTCATACTCGAAACGGCAGTCGATGACCATGCGTTGATCATACTTCTCATCATGCTTGCCATCCAAAATCTCTAACAATGTCTCTTTGGTAATGCGCGGGATACTATCAGGTTGCCCTTCCTGAAAGAAGTGTGGCAAGCCTGGCTGATGAAGCTCATCCACATCCATGACAGTATTAAGAGTACTTGGCATCGGTTCATCCTTCTTCATCACATCATTAGGACTTTCAAACATGCTCAAGGATCGGCGAAACTGCTTTCTCGGTCGGATCATTGGGTTGGCTGGTCTTCTTGTATGGCTTCCAATGGGAGACCCATTTCTCATACAACTCGAGGTCATGGTCCCAAAAGGCCGATTCGAACGAGGAGGTCCCATAATTGATATCGTCGGACTGTTGGCAGAATGAGGGCGGCGCTCCTGTGGTGGTGATTCCATAAAGCATTCTCCTAGAGACATCGATGTCGACGTTGACAACTTGCTGCTGCCAGCACCGAAGCGAAATGGAGGCAATTGCTCGGGGTTGCGAGTAGGAATTGCACCAGTCGAGAAGCCCTTGGATCGGCTCAGCGAGGGTCGCAGTAATATAGATTTCCTTCGCCTAGAGGGGAAAATGGTTAATCTCAAGATCGGCTCAACTGGAATGTGTAATTTATCTCACTCATTGTTAGGTCTCGGGGCGTCCAAAAATCCCGGCCTGGGCGGAGATGATTGCATCACATCCTCGTCCGATGTCTCTCTTGTGTTTGGTGTTGGACCTGGTGTGGGAGATTGTACTTCCATTGACGCAAAGTATGGTTGCTTGTGTGGCAATGGCGAAATGTCCATTCTCTCCTCCAACGGCCCAGGCGAAGAAGATGGAATCGGGGGTGTTGTAACGCAATCTGTGAATGGTTAGTTAAGGTTGTACCATGCGTTGTCTTTCCAACGTACCCCTTCCATCCAGTTGGCCAAAAAGATTAGATGTAAAGAGCGAACGGCGAGGGGTGGGTAACTGCGGGCTGGGGAGTGTTAGTGAAAGCTTGTCCTAGGTGCCCATTTGGAGATATACCTCATATCAATATGAAAATTCTGGGAGAGATCTGCCGCCAGACTAGCTGTCGGAGAAGAACCACGGACAGGCTTCATAGTAAAATAATCCGACTTGCTGCAACGCCCCATGCTGAGATCTCGAAAGTTGAAGGCTCCGGGACCAAAAGGGCCGGCGGTAGACATATGGGCATGAGGATGGGACGTATATATATCACTGCGGCCCCAACCATGCATGAAGGACGAGGGCTGCATGGCAGCCAATGGTGATGAAGCTTCCATGATGGAGGTTTGTTGGCAGATAAAGACGTAATGGTGGTACTGTTTCTGACGGCGTCCTTGTACAATCAATTGATCTCAATCGAGCTATGTTCTACTGCAGGAAACGGATTTCGAAAGTTCCAATTGCTGACTTGGGCGAGGGGGTCCGAGAGAAATTGCAATTGCTGCACAGGCTACACAACGATGAGGGGTACTTTCAAAGGAGTGACTTTTTACAACCAAGCACTGCGGCAAGTTGCAAAACAAGTGAGGAGCTTTCAGGGTTGGTGGGAGAGCTACTGGAATGTCCTATACATCGAGACTTTTCGAGATCGTCGGGTCGCTGGTATGGGGGCGTCCTGCTCGGTCTCTAAGCTCGGTCGGGTGGGTGGTGGCTTGATCCTGATTCCTAGGAGGTTAGTCGAGGTGGAGGTAGGTGCCGGATTTTCGAAGGTCGAGTTCGAATATGCACAAACACATACGAAGGGCTGGGAAATGGCCGTTCGTGATGAATGAATGAGCTCCGGCGAATTGGAGGAGAGGAGGAGAGAGGATGAGGAAAGGAAAGGATGAAGAAGATAGAGAAGGTCGAGGAGAGGTGGGCGAAGCGAGGGTAAAAGAAGAGCTTGGGGTTGGTCGGTGTGGGTGTGGGTGTGGGTGTCTGGGTGCGTAGGTCTAGGTGGGCTGGCTCTTTCTTTGGGCAAGGGTGGAGCCGACGTGGGTAGTGGAGGTTGTGTTGTCGGGACGATTTCCTGGTGCGGCAGGGCAGCAGCTGGTGCGGCGAACGAGCAAACGAACCACCACTGATGCCAGCAATGGGAAGCTTGCCAGCCAAACCTGAACGCAATGCAATTGGCAGCGTCTAGCAGACAAAGGGACGGTGCGCTATGAGTGGAGGAGCCAGGTGCAGGTGCAGCAGGGCTCAGGGCTCAAGACCGATGCTGAGGATGTTCAGGACAGGGCCTTCAGGGGGAAGAGGGGCAGGCTGGCAGGTGAGTGGGCCAGCAGGGGCAGGGCGTAGGGTGGAGCGCTTGAGGCACTGGAGGGGACGGACGATGTAATCCTTATCCCAGGCTGCGTCTGCTTGGGCAACCGAGGGTGATGCTGGTGCTGGAGCTTTCCAACAGCTGCTCTGCGCGTGGTGGTGATAGGCTGTCTCTGTAATCAGTGATGCGTGGTGATGCGTGATCGGTAATGCGAGCTGCAGGCTGCTTTCTGTCTCTGTTTCTTCTTCTGCCAGGAACAGGCGGGTCGTAGATGGAGATGGAGATGTTTGGTGGAAGCAGATCAGTTGTGAATGGGAGAGATGCAGACGAGGCCGACGATGCTGCTTTGCTTTGCTTTTTTCAGGGTTCCTAGACCGTTGCTGTCGCTGGTAGCTCGTTGCTGTCTCAACTCTGGTTGCTGGTCAGACTGGTCGTTAGATGCCTCGTTGCCCTGCCGTTGTTCAGTAGGAGGCTCCGTCGGCTGCCAGCCAGAGTGAAAGACCTCCACTCCTGAATGGAGTCAGAATATCTCCTACGTACTTACTTGAGTGTTGTTGCACTTCTCTTTGTACCGAGTCTCCAGTGCTCCCTATCTACAATGCTCCTTCGGGACTCTGGGGCGTCGAGGGTATCTGGGATCCTGGCTCAGCCTGTTGATCCTCTTTCTCACTCCCGAACGGGAAATGGATACAACGATACCAGAAGGGGCTTCCGGAAGCGTGTGAAGAAGTGTGAATCCTGTGAATCCGAGTCCCGTGTGAATCCTGTGAATCCGAGTCCCGTGTGAATCTCCTGCAGAGCCAAATTGCTCTTGGGTGGAGTGCGTATGTGGGCAAAGAGGAGAGGTATCGTTCATAGTACCAGTGGTAACTCCGTGAGGCTGAGGATGAGGGGGGGTGGAGGAGGAAGTGGAGGGGGGATGGATGGGGGATGATGGATGGGACTTTTGAAGTAAGGTAAAGATGTCGTCAAGCAAAGTCTATAGGTTCATGCAGCAGCACTTCCAGATCGATGGCATCTCCGGAATCGCGCCCTTCCGCAAGTCTATTCTATTCTGGTGAGCAGGAGGCAAGAGCAGTGAGAGTTGCTCAGCTGTTGATAGTACGGCCACCACCATGCAGTTGCAGTGGTGATGGCTGCATCGCGACTGCACTGCCTTCCCCTTGCCCAAAAAACAATATCAACAATACAGAAGACGCCCAACCGCAAGTGCTGCATTGTGACACAATCCCATCCAACTTTTCCATGCCAATTGAACACTGCCATCCCAATTAGGAAACAGGAGCCAGAAATTTTAAGCCTACAACCTTTTTCCAGTTTCTATTCCTGCCATCGGTATACTCGGTTGCGCGGAGTATTGTTTGCTATCAACATGGCTGCCGTGATATAGACGCTCCACCACCAAAACGGCAACGACCGCCTTGAAATATCCATTACGAAGGTAGTCTAGCTCTAGCTCCAGCTCGCATTCGCTCTAGCAAACTCTTCAACATCCACTTGATGCGAGATGATCAGATGCGAGATCGAGATGGCAACTTTGCTGCCTCCAGAACCTCATGGTCGTTCCTGGTGAAGGCCATTCGTGCGTGAACAGAAGCGATTTCATCCCACCAAGGTTGACGCGATTGTAAATATTGACATCGCGTCTCCCACAGCACCTCTCCTCCCTCGAGAAAACTGCATCTCACCCCCCCATGCCATCTCAACCCTCAGCTCGGACGGAATTGGCTCTCCGTCCTGCTCAGAATCTTCCGAATATTGCATGTTCTCCTCACCGCCTACGCCATGACCATCCTGAGCCGTTTGAGGCGCACAATACAAGACAAGGCACGCATCCTTCAACGCATCTTCTTATCTGGCATCCGCCAATAAGAGTCGGCGAGGAGCCATGGTCAGCCTTTCCATGCTTTCCCTTTCCTACCACCTGCACCACATGCCCCCGCTGTACCACCCCCCCTTCCACCCCCATCCTCCAAGCGAGACGCCAACGCTCCGAATAGAGAATTATGTGATGGTTGCTAAGAGCGGGGGTATTCGTGTTACGGTGCTACCTCCTAATGCTCCTACCCACAGACAACTTGGTCAACAAATCCCCGAAGTTGGCGAGCCTCGCCATATCCAAGGCCTGCCTGCCCTGTAAAGACCTACCAGTAACCCAGCTAGAACCTAGTCGCCTACCCTACGAACCCAGTAGAATTGCAGCACCCCAGCACACCTAGACGGTCACTCGCCTGCATATGATGCCATGCCTCGTTTACGCTGATCTCGATGTGATTTCTCGATTTCTCGACCTCCTTCCAACTTCTGCACCTCTTCCAGAATCCAAAATAGAATCTAGCCGCCTGTGACAACTTCTTCCACCACGGAATCAGCGTCGATAGCTGCCATATGCAATCTCACTGGCTGAACGTGCGGGACGGGACGAGAGACGGTTCAATTTGCGGAAACATCGGCTATTGTTCGCTGCGAGTTGAAGCCATCAAAATGCCATGCGTAGATTACGTAGATTGTGTAGCTTCTCTCCGGTCAAGCCCTCATCTAATCGTATCTAATCGCCCCATCTTCTACCACCACAGAACTACTGCAGGACGACCAGTCATGTTGATGTGAAAATCTTCAAACCAACAACACCAACGAGTCAACGAGAATACCGCCGTCTCGGGAAGCTCAGCCTCTCGTGGTTCGTGTCAAGCGTTGCCGAGCATCAAAACCACCGAGGAGGAACCATGGACGGACTAGCGACTCAGAGACGCCGAGCTCAAAAACCGAAATGCACACATCACGCAGGTCATCACGGGCGAATCACCATCGTGTGGCGTGCATCTACACCTACAGGATCTTCGACCACTAGAAGCTGCCTCTTAGCACCAGCAGTAGCTTTACAAAGTTGCCCCTCAGTGTCCCTGAACCTCGTTTGATCGTAAACCCTTCGGAACCCTTCTATCCATAACATGACCTCTTATTTTTGCTATTTATATTTGGATATCACAGGTTACCTCGACGACCTGGGGACGGTACATCCGACCTGAGCCATCTATTGAAAACGCCCCTCTCATGATTCCAATAATACCTTCAAAAATTCTCGTCTCGCTTGTTTTCCGTCCTTTATTGAAAAGTTCTTTAAGCTTCACGTCAATTAAGCCATTCCAGAAGCCCCGAAATACATCAGCACATGGCAGGCGCCTCTTGGACGGCGCTGTACTCGCTTAGCCCATGGCGTCTAGTCGACAGAACTCTGCTGTTCCTTTTCCGGCATGGCGCCCTGGACTAATCTGACCTGGGCTGGGCTGGTGGCTGGCTGGCTGATCCCACGCCTACGAGGCCTCGAGGCTACTGAAGAACCTGGAAAAGGTCTGTTCAGCGTCTCCACGAATTATCCTTTCCACGGCACGGATTCCTGAATGCGAAACGCCTGTCAATTGACAAGCTCGACACCAACTTGCACGCTTACCTTTGCCAAGGCTGAAGTATCTTTCCCAGGAGGCCCCTTCAATTTTGGTGGCTGATCAACGCTTTTTGGCCGGATTTGCTCCCAACGTCATGTCATCACCGGTTCGTGAAGGGATCCACGTTGATGATTTGTTTTGCAATTACTTCGCTGGCCTTCATTCTTTCTAGAACTGGAATTGTTTGCACACCCGTTATTAAAGATGATGCGATTCTCCACAATTTCAGATCTGGATTTCTTTTCTCATCAACTTTTGATTTCTCATCGGTTTTCTGGCAGGAAACATCTCCGATCACCGATGCAGAATTCAGACACCATATCCGGATCTATTTCGACGTAAACAATACAGAGACATTTTAATGCTCCCTCTCCTATTTCCAGCGACGTCTTCCCCGATTCGCAACGGGAGATTACGATATTTTGGCGCAGACCAGGCCAGGCTAGCACATCACGGTCTCCAATCCACCTCCAACTTCAGAATACCGACCACAGCCAATCGCGGCATCCAAAACGGGCCTCTTTCCCCACGAAAAAAAGGACAGAACTTCTTGAATCTCTAAATCACAGGCATATTTTTTTTTTTTTTACCACGCCAGAACCACTTCGAATGGTGGGGGGTTGCTTAAGCGGAGACCTTGGAAAAAGCCTCGGGAACACAAAAGTCGCAATTCTTGTCTCCCGTTGCACAAAGTCAAAGTTTAAAGACAGATACCGTACCCTTACCGACCAGAGGTAGCCCGAGCCCGTTTGTCCATGTTCTCCTCCGCGTCGGGAGGACAAGTAGACGTGTCTAGACGCCAAGTGTAAACAAGGAGGCCCGCTCGATGCACCCGTGAATAGCACGAAGTCACTGGACCTGTACTCCGTACACTACGAAGTAACTTTAACCTCCGTACTCCATACTTTTTGACTCACCAGTGGAGAATCACCCCCACAGGGGCATCGAAGAGAGAACCTTCTTCGATGGTCCAATGGATCCGATCAGAGGAACTTGGTCCACGTTGAGATGAGAAGACCCCTCGAGAGGCGAAAAGGAGAAGCCAGTCATCCTAACTTAAAGCGGGCCTCTTATAGTAAGAATGGAAGCCAGTAGGTATTTCCGGATCGCCTCAACATTGTCAATGCCATGCTTCAATATTGACGCTCCTCATATCCCCCTCCCCCTTTTACCGCTCCAGTATTTTCAAGTTTCCCCTTTCATCGGAAGGCCGTAGCAACCGTTGCTGTGTACACGACGTTTCTTCTTTTCCCCTTTCTCCTTTTTTCATCCATGACGGACCGAGGTACCTGTATACCCTTTCAGAAGTATGTGCACAATGCAATGCATACTTTTCCGGTGCGAAGATGCAGCCAATATGTACGTGCACAGTTGCATTTCTTTGCCTTGCACTTGTCTTGTCCTTTGGCCCCCCCGCGCTGTTTCGAAGCCCTGTCTGTAGCTGCACAGAAGCATTCCCCTCCCCTGTGAATCATGGTTGTCGACCCCGCATATTGTCATAGCGAGCTTCTGCCTTCTTTCTCCAAGCAAAACCGACATCCACAAACAACGAGTGCTTTGCGCAACTTCTCCGAAAAAAACACTCGAGTCTTGAATCTGCCCTCTCACAAACATGATTCACATACGATCTCTTTTTTTGAAACGTGGGGAGACGCAATCCCGAATGAATGCTTCGGACGGGGTTTTTCTTGACCCCGCGCCTGTTACCGAGGTGGGGTGGTACTCGTACCGTACCTACCGTAGCTTCCTTGGAGCTGTAGCTGGAGCTCATCGATTTTCGAGGAACATGTACTGTAGGACCCCGTAACCTTGGAGGTATTCTTATTGAGACCTGGATTTCGCTAATTGACTGGCTGCGAAACGTTCCATCGGAGCTGACCGCTGTTCTTGGATCATCTTTTTCGCGGGTGTGTACTCGAGTACTCCGTAAAGAAAGGTTCGTACTGTATCTTACTGTATTGCGGCGTTCGAGTCGTTGCAACAACAACCGCAACGTACGTACGTCATGCTTATCATGGACTTCAATTGGATTACAAATGTCTCCCTCATCATTCCATCATCTCTCCATCATTCTCTTATAAACCTTTCACTAACTAACCGAGCGAACCGAACCCCTTCTTCTTCTTCCACTTCTTGATTTTCCCCCCTCGATTGGAAAGTAAATAAACAATACACTGGATTGGTTGCCTCATCAATAATCATACTCACAAGTAAATACAAAGGCAAGAATGGGGGTACGGCCTCAGTATTGGCAACCTTTTTAATTCTTGGATTTTTGGATTTTTGGATTTTGGATTTTACGGGGGCGAGGGGAGGGTGTTTCAGGACCTTGTTCTGTTGGCTTGGGCTTGGGCATCTACTGCCGCACTCCGCAGCAGGTGCCGTATCTGTAGATATACTCTGCCCTATGGATCGGTAATTATGTGAATTTGGGTAGGAGGTATGAGTGAGGGGTTTGCTTTGGATGGTTGTCTTTTGTTTTTGTTTTCTTTTGGAGGGAGGGAGTGGGGAGGGTGGGGAAGGGGGTAGGTTTAGGTATTTATCTATGTATATACGGTAGGTAGGTAAGTTAGATTTCTTGTATTTCATTTTGTTATTGGATCTGCTTTTGTCTAGTCTAGTCTACTCAAGTTGGGGGGGGGGGGTCT